ACACTAACACACACTGACACACACAGTAACACACACTGACACACACAGTAACACACACTAACACACACTGACACACACACTAACACACACTGACACACACAGTAACACACTGACACACACAGTAACACACACTAACACACACTGACACACACTGACACACACAGTAACACACACTGACACACACTGACACACACTGACACACACAGTAACACACAGTAACACACACTGACACACACTGACACACACAGTAACACAAACACACACTGACACACACTGACACACACAGTAACACACACTAACACACACTGACACACACTGACACACAGTAACACACACTAACACACACTGACACACACTGACACACACAGTAACACACACTAACACACACTAACACACACTGACACACACAGTAACACACACTGACACACACAGTAACACACACTAACACACACAGTAACACACACTGACACACACTGACACACACTGACACACACAGTAACACACTAACACACACTGACACACACTGACACACACAGTAACACACACTAACACACACTGACACACACTGACACACACAGTAACACACACTAACACACACCACACACTGACACACAGTAACACACACTGACACACACTGACACACACAGTAACACACACTAACACACACTAACACACACTGACACACACTGACACACACACTAACACACACTGACACACACAGTAACACACACTGACACACACACTGACACACACTAACACACACTGACACACACTGACACACACAGTAACACACACTAACACACTAACACACACTGACACACACAGTAACACACACTGACACACACAGTAACACACACTGACACACACACTAACACACACTGACACACACAGTAACACACTGACACACACACTGACACACACTAACACACACTGACACACACTGACACACACAGTAACACACACTAACACACACTGACACACACAGTAACACACACTGACACACACTGACACACACAGTAACACACACTAACACACACTGACACACACTGACACACACAGTAACACACACTGACACACACACTAACACACACTGACACACACAGTAACACACACTGACACACACAGTAACACACACTAACACACACAGTAACACACACTGACACACACTGACACACACTGACACACACAGTAACACACTAACACACACTGACACACACTGACACACACAGTAACACACACTAACACACTGACACACTGACACACACAGTAACACACACTAACACACACTGACACACACTGACACACACAGTAACACACACTGACACACACTGACACACACAGTAACACACACTAACACACACTGACACACACTGACACACACACTAACACACACTGACACACACTGACACACAGTAACACACACTGACACACACACTGACACACACTAACACACACTGACACACACTGACACACACAGTAACACACACTAACACACACTAACACACACTGACACACACAGTAACACACACTGACACACACACTAACACACACTGACACACACAGTAACACACACTGACACACACACTGACACACACTAACACACACTGACACACACTGACACACACAGTAACACACACTAACACACTGACACACACAGTAACACACACTGACACACACTGACACACACAGTAACACACTAACACACACTGACACACACTGACACACACAGTAACACACACTGACACACACACTAACACACACTGACACACACAGTAACACACACTGACACACACTAACACACACTAACACACACTGACACACACAGTAACACACACTAACACACACTAACACACACTGACACACACAGTAACACACACTGACACACACTAACACACTGACACACACAGTAACACACACTGACACACACAGTAACACACACTAACACACACTGACACACACACTAACACACACTGACACACACAGTAACACACACTGACACACACAGTAACACACACTAACACACACTGACACACACTGACACACACAGTAACCACTGACACACACTGACACACACTGACACACACAGTAACACACAGTAACACACACTAACACACTGACACACACAGTAACACACACTAACACACACTGACACACACTGACACACACAGTAACACACAGTAACACACACTGACACACACTGACACACACAGTAACACACACTAACACACACTGACACACACTGACACACACTAACACACACTGACACACACTGACACACACAGTAACACACACTAACACACACTGACACACACTGACACACACTGACACACACTGACACACACAGTAACACACAGTAACACACACTAACACACACTGACACACACTGACACACACAGTAACACACACTAACACACACTGACACACACTGACACACACAGTAACACACACTAACACACACTGACACACACTGACACACACAGTAACACACAGTAACACACACTGACACACACTGACACACACACTAACACACACTAACACACACTGACACACACTGACACACAGTAACACACACTAACACACACTGACACACACAGTAAACACACACTAACACACTGACACACACTGACACACACAGTAACACACACTAACACACACTGACACACACTGACACACACAGTAACACACACTAACACACACTGACACACACTGACACACACAGTAACACACACTGACACACACTGACACACACTAACACACACTGACACACACTGACACACACAGTAACACACAGTAACACACACTAACACACACTGACACACACTGACACACACAGTAACACACACTGACACACACTGACACACACTGACACACACAGTAACACACACTAACACACACTGACACACACAGTAACACACAGTAACACACACTGACACACACTAACACACACTGACACACACTAACACACACTGACACACACTGACACACACAGTAACACACACTGACACACACAGTAACACACACTAAAACACACTGACACACACTAACACACACTGACACACACTAACACACACTAACACACACTGACACACACTGACACACACTAACACACACTGACACACACAGTAACACACACTAACACACACTGACACACACTAACACACACAGTAACACACACTAACACACTAACACACACTGACACACACTGACACACACTGACACACACAGTAACACACACTAACACACACTGACACACACTAACACACACAGTAACACACACTGACACACACAGTAACACACACTAACACACACAGTAACACACACTGACACACACTGACACACACAGTAACACACACTAACACACACTGACACACACTAACACACACAGTAACACACACTGACACACACAGTAACACACACTAACACACACTGACACACACACTAACACACACTGACACACACTAACACACACAGTAACACACACTGACACACACAGTAACACACACTAACACACACTGACACACACACTAACACACACTGACACACACTAACACACAGTAACACACAGTAACACACACTAACACACACAGTAACACACACTAACACACACTGACACACACTGACACACACTGACACACACAGTAACACACACTAACACACACTGACACACACTGACACACACAGTAACACACACTAACACACACTGACACACACTGACACACACAGTAACACACACTAACACACTAACACACACTGACACACACTGACACACACAGTAACACACACTAACACACACTAACACACACTGACACACACTGACACACACAGTAACACACACAGTAACACACACTAACACACACTAACACACACTGACACACACTGACACACACAGTAACACACACTAACACACACTGACACACACTGACACACACTGACACACACACTAACACACTAACACACACTAACACACACTGACACACACTGACACACACTGACACACTGACACACACAGTAACACACACTAACACACACTAACACACACTGACACACACTAACACACACTGACACACACTGACACACACAGTAACACACACTAACACACACTAACACACACTGACACACACACTGACACACACAGTAACACACACTAACACACACTGACACACACTGACACACACTAACACACACTGACACACACTGACACACACAGTAACACACACTAACACACACTAACACACACTGACACACACACTGACACACACAGTAACACACACTAACACACACTGACACACACTGACACACACAGTAACACACACTGACACACACTGACACACACAGTAACACACACTGACACACACTAACACACACAGTAACACACACTAACACACACTGACACACACAGTAACACACACTAACACACACTAACACACACTGACACACACTGACACACACTGACACACACAGTAACACACACTAACACACACTGACACACACTGACACACACAGTAACACACTAACACACACTGACACACACTGACACACACTAACACACACTAACACACACTAACACACACTAACACACACTAACACACACTGACACACACAGTAACACACACTAACACACACTGACACACACTGACACACACAGTAACACACACTAACACACACTGACACACACTGACACACACAGTAACACACACAGTAACACACACTAACACACACTAACACACACTGACACACACTGACACACACAGTAACACACACAGTAACACACACTAACACACAGTAACACACACTGACACACACTGAAGTGTGACTCTCCCGGTTAAAAGCGCCCCCCTTGGATCGTCTGGTTAAAATGACTTTAATGTTCAGAACCAGAACCTCCCGACCCGGTCAGGAGGTTCTGGTTCTGAACCAAGAGCCAGTCTGATGTTTTATCCAAATGTTTTCACCACTGGTCTGAATGGTCCGGTTCTGCTGCAGTTCCTGCGGTTCTGTAC